GCTGAAAAGAGATTATGCTTATGCTTTATGCTGCTCCTAAAGAGAGGGGTCTTGTTCACCCACCCAATGCATCACAGTAGACCCATTCATATTTTGATATCTTTACAGGTTCTGCTCCCTATACATTGTTTTATGGCTAACAAATAATACATAGGTGTGGGAAGCAAGGGGAGGAGATACGTGGAGGGATAGTTTGATGTATGGTGCACCCAATTCATGCTGAGATCAATAATCTGATGTACTTAATTGAAAATTTAAGGCTCTATTTTTAACATAGTTAAGAAACTCTGGAGACCTACCAGAGCTGAAAGCATCCTTCCAATTAGGCATAGGCCAGGCCATCCAAAAAATCATACTTTCTTTCACCTCCACATTGATTCTCGGACCACATTAAGTACTGGTTTTCATATTCTGAAGACTGACAAGTGGAAGCTGATGGTTGACCTGTGGTAAGTTAAAATTTAGAGAGAGGGTAGATGCACAGTTAAAGCCCAGCCCTCCCACCTACAAGACTGGTGGATTATTTTGTAAATCAGATTTAGTCTCAGATTGTTTTCTCTAGCCCAACTGAAACTAGTAAATGGCAGAAGACTAGAATTTGAGATATTTTTGTTGTTGTGGTGGTTTTGTTTGTTTGTTTGTTTTGTTGTTGTTTTTGTTTGATTTTGGTTTTGTTTTTTTGTGGGAGTTTTGGTGTAAATCTCCTGCCTTGTGCTTGAGCAGAAATCCTTCCAGATGCAAATCAAAGGTTGTCTTCAGGTAGGGTTGCAGTTTACCATTCAGAAACAGCCTGCTGTGGGAGGTGTGACTTTCCACACCCTTCCAGTGGTAGAAGTGGAAAGGCTGCTGTAATAAATGGGTTTGGTGGTAATCTTAAATCTTATACAATCAGCAAAAATCAGCCTTTTTCTCTGCAGAAACACCAACCACATGTGGTCCTGATCTAGCTCTCGGGCTCATAGTGATATTACTATAACTCAAGTACTGTTTCTTCTGCTACCATTTATGCAAAATAAGCAACAGGACAGAAATGCCAAGTGTGGCAGCGCAATACTGAGTAAGGAGTGAGTAGTATTTACAGCTAATCCCTGTTGTCATAGGTGTATATTCAGACTGCGAAATTAAGCTATCTTTAAAGAAATGCTTTATTCAAAATATATGGCTCTTTCTGGGGGAGGCACCCCTGATATTCTCCCCGCAACAGTAGCCCAGCAATCAATCCCAAGGGATGTACAGGCATGGAAAGACACGTTCAGTTGTTGAGCAGTATGGTTCAGCTGTTCTTCGTTACTGGGAAAGACTCACAAGCTGGTGGGAAGCATAATGTCAGAGAGTAAATCTGTAACAGCATAATTCAGGGGATTTTTGTTAAAAGCCAAAACTGATAAATTAAGGGGAAAAGGTTCTGGTTGTGTTATGTGATTTCCATGTAGAGTGTTTCGCTGAAATGATCCCATACATAGAAATTGGTGCTGTGAACAACCTTACATGCACTGTATCTGTACCACCAGTGTTGTGAGAAGCTTATCACAGGGCCATGCTCCTTCAGAAACTGCCCTGGTAGTGGTGAAAACAGGGGTTTTTTTAAAGGATTAATAACTTATTGTGGTAATAATCAGTGTGAGCAGGGATGAGTGTATTTTCGTATCATCTGCTGGAGGAAGAAATGGTGGTAGTAAGAGTAACCTGCAAAGCCACACGGTGCAGCATTAAGCTCATTCAGTAGAGATGATACATTCCCTTTGGGAAACTACAGTGAACGGTCGTGATTGCAAATGTGAGACCCTGCCTCCCTCCCATCCCCGCTGGCACCTCCAGTCACATCCGCAGGAGCTTTGCGCGAGGATCGGAGGGAGAGACTGACCTCTGTCCTGTCCTTACGGCAAAGGGTCCTTAGGACAAAATGGGATGTGATCCTGCAGTGCCATGGGTGGCTCTCAGCCTGGAAACTAAGATTACTCACTCACTGTCTGTGGCTTGGAGAAAAGAGTCAAATGAGTTATTTTTTTTTTCTTAAAAGATTACATAAAAAAATCAATGCAGACTCCAGATAAATTCTAAAATTCATGGCTGGATGTATCCCCCATCTCCTTAGTGGTCAAAAGCTCTTATATATTGATAGGAAAAGACCTGAAAGTTCAGTTGACTTCCTGGGGGAACTGAAGCCATGACAGTCTTCACAAACTTCTGTGAGCTTCAGGAGCATTTACTTTTTCTCAGAAAGCAACTGTCCCATCAGGCACATCAGAAATTCAGTTGTCCGCACACTGGTGCTGGGATGGACCATCTCCATAGTGGAGTTTAGCAGATGAGCATCACCGGGGGGCTGATTTCCACCATAAGCAAGTTGAACTGTGAGGGTTTCGGATGATCTGCAGGACACATTGTGGGCTCTTCACAAAGTTACTACAAGCTTTTCCCTGGCAGTAGAATAGGTTTGTAACCCTGCTAACTTCAGTAGAAACCACTGAGTTGTCACTCATATACTTTCTGTATTCAGAACCAGGGCTTACAGTTGTTTTTTTGAGGGATCAACATCATAGATATCACATTTCTAACTGTTTCCTGCATTTGCCTGTTCAGCTGCTAAAGTAATGAATTTGCTGTTGTTATTCAGGAGCTGAATGCTCTGCTTTAGCATCAGGAACATAATTTTTAATAACTTGAAATTGTGTTGGGCATCATTGAAGGAAAGTACCCCTTGCATCCGAGTGACAGATGAGTGCCCCAAAATAGATATTTGTTGCTAGAAATTACTGTTTATAAAATTAAATTTCCCTTCCAATCCTTGAAAAGAAAATACAGAAAAATGGAAAACCAACAAATAAAATCAGTAAAAAAAAAAATAAATAAATTTTAATAGAATTAATAAGAATGAAATTAATATTACTTTATTTTCAAATTAGATTTAATTTTACTCCAGAGTTCTAGTTTTAAACCTTCTTGCATTTAATTTTTAATATGTTTTGTATGAAGCAATAATCTTAAAAAACTCTTACACATTTTGATGACTATTACAGCTGCAGTTTTTATATAGTTTATGCTTTCATATAAAATATGTATATTTGTTGTGACTTTTAGAACAGAACGCTAATTCCTTACATTTGTTGCTGTTGAAAGCTTGTCTTTGCTGCTCCTGCCATAGCATTTTGCTGGGGATATACGGAGCTAATGCAGTGTGGCCACTTGGTTTTCTGGGTGTCATTTCACTGAGTTTCACATTTTAATAACTCCGACTTGCCCTTTAAAAGCTGAAATATCAAAGTTTTTAAAAATATAAATGTGCAAAGTCCCTAGCAGTGATTCCTTCTTACCCTATCAATATGCCAGCCCTATAATAAAAAAAATAAGTCTGCTGATATGACTGTAGATAAAGGATAACTTGAAAAATGCTTCTGAGACCACTAAATCAGAACAATTTAATTGCTGGAGATTAAAAAAACCACCATCATTTGGATTAATGGGAACTGGGTAATGACTACATGGGGATTTTGCTAACTGGCCATGTATAATTGCCTATTTTAAGATTCCATCACTGAGTATATATCTGGCTAGGATACGTTGTTGTGAAATGACATCCAAGAGACACTGATAGCCCAAACTTTCCATGAAATCACATCATCATGTGTCTGTTTCAGAAGAATTTGTTTCCAGTGTTTATGAGTGTCCATTTCTACCACAGATGGGTTCAGTGCCTGGGCACCGAAAAAGGAGGCGGTGTCTGCACTCCCGAACTGCCCTCGGTCTCGTTCTGCTCCTAAAGTCTTCCTAGTCAGTTCATCCACATGAGTGAACTGTTCTGTGTATATTTTACTTGAAATTCTATCGCTGTAAAAAAAAAAAAAAAAGCAGTTTAATTTTGACACCATGTTGCTTAATAGAACCGTTTTGTTTGTGTCTTCAGGATTTTGACCTGAAAGCATGTCAGGAAGCTTTGGATGACTTCTGTCCACACCAAGGAAACGATCAGCTGGAACTGCAAGAGGAGGAAGACATAAATCAAGTAAATGATTAAAAAAATGGAAGAAGGGAAAACTGAAGAGGAAGTAAGGGAGGATGTAGGTCTTAACACTGAGATAGAGTAGCGAAGGAAGTGGAGTGAATAATTTTGAAAGGAATATCTGATTTCCTCTTTTCATTTGGAGTGTCTTTTGCAAGGGCAGGAAAGGAACAGTGACTTCAGACGATACTTTGTCAATGATGCCCTTGTACACCTTCTCAAAAATTGCACCTCCCTACCCCCCAGTATGGCTGATGTAGTTGAAATGTTCTAAAGTTTACAGAAATCTCTTGCAACTAACCATTTTTTAATTTGGTTTTATTTGCTCCATCATGAAGTTGTTGTGTTTGTGGGACAGGATTTTTTTTTGGTCTACTGACGCTTGAGACATGGATGCTAAATTATACTGCTTTCAACATTTATGTAAAGCTTGATGCTCAGATGTAGAGTTACACTTGGGAAACTGGGTTGTTCAGATCTTAACACATGGATTGTAACTAGAAGGCAGAGAAATACTCTTCATGATGTTATAATTAAATGGGTACACTTTGGGTTTTGTTCTCTCTTATAACAAAAAAGAGTATTTATTGTCTTGAGACCTTATGAGAGCTGAGAACTTTGGATTTTTCTTGTCAGCCCCTCTGTTCGCCACCTCCCTGGTAGCTAAGCTTTGAAAAAATATTTGATTTTTCCGCAGCAGTGGGTAGGTGCAGCCTCAGAGAGGAGGGAAGCCCAGTTCTGCTGTTCTGGGGTGGTGTTAGATGTCTTTGCCATGGAGTTACTCTGCTCATTCTAGCAACGTTACATCTCCCATCAGGATGAAGACTTGATGGGGAGAGTCAGCAGCAGTGTTTCGCAGAGCTGTGCTCTGTTTCCTCTCAGACTTTGATTTTTACCTCCTTTTATGTAAAATAACTGTGCTTTACAAAGCGTTTCTGTCTTGTGTCACAGAGCAACCGCAACCATGTAGATTCCCTTCTCTCCTTAGAGGGCTATTTACAGCTTCTGTCATCGCAGATGGAAAACATGCTAGAGGTAAATGGGAAAACACGTGTTGCTCATAGATTGGGATACAGATTGTGATTATTGGATAATGACTTTGTTTTGTCTAACTAAAATACCCCAGTGAATATATCAGCAAATCGATGCAGTAAAACATACCTGAGGATGTTAAAGACACTAGCAACCACCTTTTACAGCAACTGTCATTGGCTCTACTTGAAAAATTTTCCCCAGTATTTTGTCTGTGATGTGAAAACTGCAAAGTCCTGTCTTCTCTGTCACCTGGTATTCAGTTGGATGGAGCCGCTGGACAACCTAGTTAGTTCAACTAATAATTCCCTTTCTGAAGCCTAATGCCCGTTTATATTCATACAGCAGCTCTTGGTGTGTTTCTCTAGAGCAACGCTGGCATTAAGCACTAGCAGCTATTAAGCATTTGCAGCCAAAGATTATAGTTGCCATAAGTATTTGTGCAAGTGCTTACAAGAATAGTACCCTCAAGAAGAACAGACCCATTTTTGCCACAGATCAGGTCAGTCAGCAATAGTGGCAAAACCATTTTCTTTTTTTATCTTCTGGACTTCTGATACTACCGTTTTCTTTCTGGGTGCCTATCTTCACAAATAAACAGTTGTCTTAATTGGAGTCTCCATCTTGTCCTGCGGCTCATAGCTGCAATCATTAACTATGAAGCTACTCCCTACATTCCTTTTTTGCAATATTCCAAGGACATCTTACATATACTTTCCATCGGAGGAGCCTTACAGGGTCATTAATATTTTCCATATATCTTCATGTTTATCTCTGGAACAGCTAGTTTTGGGAATAGCTAGGTTGGATAGTGCCTCCCAGCTCATAAATTAGCTTCCTCCTCTGTTCAGCTTTGGTAATGGGTTCCACACTAACAAGGTTCAGAAGTTCATCAGTTCAGTCTTCTCTGTTCTTTTTGTAACTTGAAAGGAATTTGGCTGTAGCCTTTATGTAGCTATAACAATACACAGTTGCATATTTTATTTAAGACTATTAATGCACTGCCATCTTGTGACAATCTATCAGGTGAAAATGGATGGCTTGTTTTTCCCAGGTATCAAGTCTTTACAGCGTGGGGGATATTTTTTATTAGTTACCTTGCTAAGATTATTTATTTTCAAGGGCTTAATTGAAATTACCCGCTCTATCTCTTAGACTACAGATGGTCTTGTAGAAGTCCCTAGGACAAATAAGGCAAGACTTTCTTCTGCTACCTGAGCTCCCAGTAAGCATAGCAGAGTACTTAAGATGTTCTGGTCTTTGTGGTACATCATTCCTTCCCTGTGGAAAGTGGTTTTTAGATTGTTTAGTGAACTGTAGTCAGAAAAGTCCTTTCCTGTACCACAGCAGGGATGCTCAGCTATGAAGGAGTCATATATACTTCCTACTTGATGTATTTACATGTTCAAGTTTTTTGTATCCCTGTATTTACTTGTCAGCAAGTGCCCTGACATAATCTTGCACGGTGGCTTTGTACTTCTAGGACCCAACAACTATAAGCCAGGCCCACAAAAGATGGGCCTTAATGCTACTGGAGCACTTGTTTATTGTCTGGACTTCAAGACTGAGGGATCATACAGCAGCTTTATTTTTGCAAAGAAAAAATGAGCAGTAATTTAAAGTCAGAACACATCCACAGGAGGTGTGATATGGTGAGGGGCTATCCCCTCCAAACTGATCAGCAAAGGAGTTGAGTTGAAATCGGAACACAGTAGATCTCTGTTAAGAAGGAGCTAAGGCAAATGTGGCAGCTCACAGCCCCAAAAGTTTTATAAACTGTGAAAGAAAAGCAGTGAGAATGTGCCAGCATGACTTCAAGACCTTAGTGTTTCTGTCCTCCTCCCCTCTTTTCTTACACCACTGTTCTCACTGGTTAAGTCCTGCCTGCAAGCTATTTATCTTTACGAGGTTAATTTTCTAACCGTTTAGCACCTTGAGCCAGCTCACCCTGGAACTGGATGATCATCAAAACCACTACCAGGGAAGGGGCAGGACAACCCCTCCTAGAAGGATGTTTTCTTAGACCAGATCAGATGTAACAGATAGACTGCAGTTTAATGTACACTTAACACCAGTCCCATTTCCAACCCCTTGACACTAATCAGTCCCATACTGTGCGAGTCCTCCTTCCATCCCTTCAGTCAGTTTTCTTCTACACCCTTCTTGCTTCCTCTTCCCATGTGCCAATGCAGGTTATACTGTGTACAAATGGGAAACAATATTCAGGATAGCTAGAAGAAGAGTTCAACATAGAAAATTTTGACTTTTAATAGATTCAGACAGTGGAATATTAAAACATAAATAGATCAAGCCTGTGTAGATGAGAAATGTTGAAGCATTCATTTTATAAAAGATCCCATTTTCCCCATCTTTTCATCATCTTTTAGGCAAGTTTACTGGAAGATACACAAGTTGCCACTTCTAGTAGAGGCCAAGATCCATCATCCTCACACCACAATATAAGTTTGACCCAGACGCTTTGCCACTGTTTCAGTCCTCACGATGCCACACTACTAAGAACAGACTACCCCACTCAATCAAATTCAGAAACAAGACATTTACAAAGGCATGAGTCTTTTCCTCAGTCAAGCTCTAATATCACAAATCCAGAATCACTACTTCATGGGTCAGATTTGACAGGGCTGTTTTCAGCTGCTGACGTTAGAAACCTAACAGCCCATGATGATAATTTTGATGAAGTTAAACTCATGTCTTTGGCTTTGGAGGAAGGCTTTCATCCTATAGAAGTTTCTAAGCTCTTTGAAGAACCTGGCTCAGATTTGGGACTGTCTTTGAATTCAAGTCACAGCACTGCCTCTTACTCAGCCTGCAGTGAAGGTGCTGTTGGGTACAGCAGTGATGTTAAATCTGCTTCTTCACATGGCTTAGGAGCTGTCAGTGTCCATAGCCAAGAATGCAGTAAATACGGCCATGTCGAATATCCAGGTGATTCAGAGTGTTCTAGCAAAGCTGCACTTCAGTTTCTTCATAACCACACTTACAATCAGCTGCCAAGTCAAGCAGCACCCACTCCAGAGCATCAGCAGCAGATGAGGATGGAGAAACCAAATAAAGTAAAGGATAGGTGCCATAATTCGACTGATACAAACCTTAGCAGTGATGAACGCTGTGCAAAAGCTCTGAGACTACCATTTTCAGTAGATGAAATTGTGAGCATGCCCGTTGACTCTTTCAACACCATGCTAGAAAAGAACCATCTGACAGGTACTCAGGTATCACTGCTACGTGACATCAGACGAAGAGGAAAAAATAAAGTTGCTGCCCAAAATTGTCGTAAACGTAAACTGAATGCAATTCTTAACTTGGAAGAAGACATATGCAATCTTCAAACCCAAAAGGAGAGCCTTAAAAAGGAGCACTCTCAGTGTAGCAGATCAATCAGCCGGATGAAGCAAAAGTTAAACAACTTGTACTGTGACATTTTCAGTAGATTGAGGGATGACCAGGGTAGGCCTGTTAACTCTTGCCAGTACGTTATTCATTGCAGTAGTGATGGCAGTGTTTTTATAATACCCAAACGCTTGGTCAAATCAGAACAGAAACAAGATAATGAAAAAGAGCAATAACAAAAATAAGATGGATGAAGGTCACTTAAGTGTTATTTTTCCTGAAAGAATGATGGATATTTGCGTGAAGACTGGAGGTCAGCGATTACTGTAGTACAAACAGAAAGACTAAATTTGAGGAGGAAGACTGCATGTTCCAGGGTCTGGCAAACCCAGCCGACTGCGATGTTAGAAAGTCTACCAGCTGAGGCTTCTGAATGAGGACATCTGTTTAGTTTTAGTTCTAATTAAAGGAGCTAAGGCCATCGCTGTAAGTGTATTTATATAGGCCTATGTAAAACTAGGAATTTGGTTTCTGGTGAGGGTGGAACGGGGAGAATATCAGTGGGGGGAAAAAAAGCTGTAGATCAAAGTTACACATGGAAGAAAAACATGCTTTAGTCTTGAGTACTTAATTCTTCATACACAAAGTGACCTTATTTTGTTACTCTTTTTAGCACTGAAAGAAAAATTGTAGCTTATCATCACCTTAAATTCACTGTGGATTTATGTATTCCCAGGGATACTCTCTGCTTTCTATCTCTTCAGAACTGTTCTGCTTTTCCCAGTTTTCCTTTGAGGAGAGAGGCCCAGGAGGCTATTGCATTTTTCCTCACTGCTTTCACTGTCATATCTCCCAGCAAACATCACGTACCAATTAATTTTACAACTCACATGATCAATCTGAAAATAGGTTCTGAAAAATTAGTATCTGATTCAATATTATCTTACCTTCATCCTCTGCAGCGCAATCATTCTGAACTTTCTTCCATGAAAATAAGTGATGGTGAATGAGCTCCTGTTCTGTTTCCCTTTCTCCCCACAGTTGGATACTTCAAGGAGAATTACTAAAGTTTTTCTCTTTAGCTTTTTAAAACTGGTATTTTCTAAGTATCTTCAATGTTACGGATTTAAGATTTTTTTTGTTTAGATTTTCCCCACATCTTTAAAGTAAATTAAATTGAACCAAATTACTATTTCTCTGTACTTGTGATAACGAGGTTACACTCTGATAGTGGCTTTCAGTGAAGAGAAGGGCTTTATGGTTTTGATATTCATTTGTGCTGTGAAAAAGACGGTATTTTATTTACTCACATGCTTATTGAAAACAGCTTTTCCTTTTCTATTTTACAACCTGAAAAGGGTCTGCAAAAAAGGCAGCCTAAAAGGCATGTAATAAATGATAAGGAAGTTAAGAGGTATACTAGTTTGTAAGATACTAAAATCATTACTAAAATGAACAACTAGAGAGCAGCAAACACTTTCTCTTTTATAAACAAAACCTGTAAAACTGTTATTAAAAAATATCTCATTGGCCATGGCGTGACAACAGCATAGCAACTTTATGGTCAGGTATGTTAAAAAACACACTTGCACCAAATGCACAAAAACTACACATACATGCAAGACAAGTTTAAATGCTGAATTACACCTTTTGAAGAAATAAACTATGCCATTATCATGTAAATCATAGTTCGTTTGCACTTGGGTTTACAGTAACTGGTAGCATCAAATGGTGTTTTCTACAAAGGGAGCACTGCCTCCAAGTGCAAAATACACTGAATTACCAGTAACGAAATCAACCAGTTTAAACAACGTGATCTGCATTTTAAAAATTTTCTTTAAATGTGTGCATCAGTTCTTGTATTAGTTTTGCCAGTGTCTCAAACTGACAGGGTAAATTCATAGCAGAAACTTTAATGAGTAAGACCCTGAAATTTCTTGCTGTTGGTTAAGCATCAGTGTGAAGCGCATCTATCCTAACTGGTATTCACAAGAAATTTAATCGCTAGTTTGTGAACTTTAACCAAAAGTTCACAACTTTTGCAACAGGGAACAGATACATATGATGAATTGTGAACTGTATTTTTAGTTTTGGGGGAAAAAAAGTGTCTGAGTCCACATAATTATAATCTTTTAATTAAATGACATAATACACATTTTAAATTTTGTGTGTAGCCTTTGCAGGGCCAGGGCTTTAAGCCTACTTCATTGTCCATGTGCACAAATGCTGATGGGTATTAGATTAGGCCTGTAGCCAATAAAACCAGAAACCCACGTATTTCTGTTTTAGGGCCTTGCAACACAAGTTTCTACAGCCCTACAACATAAGGGAGAAAAAAAAAAATATAAAAATGGCTCAACTTTGTGATGCCCGCTCCTCCAGTAGCAGTAGAGACCGAGCACTACGGACTTTTGTAGAGCCAGCTACTAATGAAATAAAGCACGCACCCAACTAGGTGAGTTACATGGTCAAATTTTGGCACACGCTGAAATTAAGGAAGCATGTTGGAACTCTTTCAGAGAGCAATCCTAATCAAAGCAGCATGCTCCAGCTGATCCATATAAAGCAAAGCCATCCACCCCAACCCCATTCCCCTATACGTCAATTTGCAGACAGGAAAGTATCATGAACTGCTGTCAGCTAATTCCACCCTCATTGTTTAACAACTACATTTCTTTAAGAAGTCTACGTAGGAATCTCAATCTCAGAGAGCTCAGCTAGCAACTATACCCCTACAAAATCTCTCAGGTGAATTATTAATTTAGGGTGGGCTGTAACAGTGCTGATGATGCAGACACCAAGCATTAGGTCTGGATGTACTATGTCATTTTCTCAAGCCTTCAGCTACCTACCCACAGAAAGACAAAACTAAGAATTCAGAACAATGTCCTGTTTTGTTTTTTTTTTTTTTTTCAATTTTGGTAGACTATTTTTACCTAAAAACTGATAGTTTTTAGTGTCTTCCCTTTCTGTGACAAGCATGTTTAAGGAAAAACAAACTAATGTCCTTCAATTATTTGAGAAAGCCTAGACAGAAGAGTTTTTCTATCAAGCTCTCCTCCCAAGACAAAGTGTGCCTGGAGCTACTTTTCATGTGCTTCATACAACCGCCTTAGACTGTACTTTCACCTGACATACAAAAAAGAGACACTGTACAGAAGCTGGAGGGAAACAGCATTAGTTAATAAAACTTGCAATGGCAAAGGCTGTAAAAGGTAGGAAACCCCTGACTGAAGTGTAGCTTGACTTTATTAGTGATAGCTCATAACTTTCAAGAAACCAAAATCCTAAGTGTACAAACCAGGGACCAGGCTGCGTAAAAACATGTGATTTGGTACCAAACGTAGTCTGGAGCCAGGTATCTAGGGATAAAAGCTGCTGGGGCTGCATCCTACCACACCAAACACCGGGCACGGAGGAAGGTACCTCTCACTAATAGCAACAATGGAAACACTTTAGGAAACTGCAAAGCTAAGGATTGTAGATGTAGGTGTTGACACAGCAACAAAGTGGAAATACCAACATAGGCATTCGCATTGAAATACCATTCCCAAGGTAAAGCTATTAAGTAGTCTGAAACAGCTGAGCAGTAAACTGTGGTTCCGTTACATTGATAATGAAAAGGTTATCTGTAAGGTTAGCAAAGATCAGATGGAGTATAGAGGAAAAACAGCGTGGTGGGGAAATCACAAAGCGCAGATTACCTTCCCCATTGCTGCTGGCAGCAGCACACACAGGCCCTACGGAACAGCGCTAGCTGCTCCTAGATCCATCGCTCTGCCAGGGAAACACCCACTCAAAGCAAACACCCCTTCAGTACTTTATTAGACCGCAATACCCTCACGACGTGTAAGGCCACACCGCCAGTGAACCCTCCCACAAGAGACACGGCACGCTGCTGCTTTGAATGACCACAGCTTTAGCTTTACGGGTTAGTTTTATTCACTAAACATGCCTTTTTGACAGAAGCTGAATTTTACAAGCTAAAGTTGTTCCTGCTCAAGAGCTTACAATCTAGTTTTAGACAGGGTGACCAAAGTAATGAACTTCAAAGAAAGGACAAAGCAACTTCATCAACATGTTTGTCAGTTTTAACAGCTCAGCATTTGCCCCAAAATACAACTGCATCTTACAGGAGTCATAAATATGGTTCTGATGAGAATCTCGAGGACAGAGTATGTAGAGGCCTATAAATGAGGCAACAGGACACTCAGCACCAGGTTTTAGTGAAAAACTTTATTCAATAAACCAAATAGGGATGACACGTGTAACCATGTGAACTATTATTGCCGTAGCACACCTCAAAAGCATTGCAACTGGATACCCACTGCACAGCTACTAGAGCTCTCTTAAATGCATCAGCCATTGATTTTCATACAAGAATGCCCCAAAATGGACCAAGAAAGAGCAGACTGAGTAAGAGGAAGCCGGGGGGAATCATGTTTTGGTGAAAACTCAGGGGGAAGAGTGATTTTCTAGAACGTGCAGTCACCTTGTTCACAGAACGAAGCAGCATGGGAGGTCGCACAAGCTAATTTGTAAACTACACGGTCCCCAAAAGCTGTTGGCCTGGTTATGTTCACAGCACTCTGCCACGCAAGTCACACAGCCATTTAAAGTTAAACCCTGTTTACTTTTACTGTTGATAAATAAACCATTCTTGCTACATTAACTGGAGTAACTTCTGACAACATAAACTTGTGCCGTAGTGGAAATCAGCCCTGGCTGCAAAGCAAGAACGCACTGTTAAAAAGGACAGTATGGCTTCTGGCAAACCAGCGGCAGGCAGGAAAACCCTTCCCGTGTTACTCTACACTCCTACCCGCATCGCTGTACACGAGAGTGAACCTGGCACCTCCCTTGGGAGGTGAAAAAAAAAACAAAAAAAAAACCAAAAAAACAGCACTACTATGGGATCGTGCTTGCATCATGCACTCTGCTTCAAAAAACAAACCGAAACGCTACAGCTGCTGGGAATGTACTGTTGCAGTATGTTCTCTGCAAATCCTCCTCTTTCACGGATGTGGTCAAGCTGCCAGAGCACGCTTGGTTGACAGCTCCTTCAAAATCCACACCTATGTTTTTTGGCATTTGTTTTTTCTTCCCCAGTAGTATGATTTCATGCCCCAAGTTAGTATGTACATTCATCAGAAAACTCAAAGAATACAATCTTCAATTCCTGCTGATTTTGCCCTATTCAGAGCAATTTTTCACATTTTCCTAAACACTTTTCAGCACCTGAAGCACAAGTAATAGAATAAAATTCAACTTTCATTGTAAATAGCACATAGAACACAAAGCCTGCAGAGCCAGAGCCCTAGCACTGGCTGACCTCTTTTGACCACCACTTTATAAATCCAAGTCATACACTGCCGTTTTGGGGGGCTTTTTTTTTTTTTATTCCCAGTTATAGGTCACGTTGTCTTTCACATTCTTCCTTCAGCTTGCTGGAGAAAGTGTTTGCTGGGGGCAAGCTGGGCCTAGTACTGACAACCTGATCCTCAGTTCTTGGCACACCAAAACACACTGACCAGCAATGTTACCCAAATTTGAAAGAGAAAGTCTGTTAAGTGACATAAACCCCAACTTGTTCAAAATTAAAAGTATACGTTGTCTACAAATTGAGGACCAATAATTGACCACACACTGTTCTTTTTGTTCAAAGTCTCTAGCTTTCAGTATCGGCTTGACTCAACATGGTGACTTCTCCCATTGAATTCATCATTAAACACTGTATTGTCACTTGCTTTAATTCTTAAGAACATACCAAGAAAGAAAAATCATGGAAGTTCAGCAGGAAGACAACAGGAAACTTACTCAAATACTACAAGCCTTCAAGACACTAAATAGCCAGTAACTTAGTTTTTGCATACTGCTGTCCCCTATACACTCACTCCCCCCACTGCCAGTAGATCAAAATTAAAACATCCTCAGCACAGAAAATACAATGTACTTAAGTACATTTTAAACCTTGTTGCAGGATTACTGAATGAGTGTAAGTATCTCGAAGAGAAAAAGAATACAGTCCCATTTAAAGTGGGGGGTTTTGTTTGGTTGTTTTTTTTTTTAAATGTCATATGAAAGTGGACTTGGCAACTGCAAAGAAAAACTTCCATCAACTAAATTAAGTTACAGGAAAGAAGGCAAATTCCGTATCATCTGGTCAACTCATTCTGTTGGAAAGAAGAAAGTAAAGCAGATTGTGCACGTCTTCCTTTTCTGCTTCCGTTGCAGCCCACTGGTTACCTATGCAAATATTTCAAATTTCAACTTAAGAAACAGAAAAAAATTGTATGTGAATCCTAATTTTGAATTACATAATGAAGGTTAAGAACACGATTCTGCCAAAGCTAAGCATATAAATTTCAAGTTTAGAATAAACTGTGTATGTAGGTAGCAGGTTATAACGGCACAGACTGAAGATACCTTCCCTCACATACATTCCAACTGAAGCTTTCCCAAGCTCACACCTCGAGTTTGGTTTGTTTTTTGGAGGGTTTGGTTTGTTTTTTGTTGGTTTTTTTTCCCCCCACAAGATCCAGCTATCAGTAATACAGTTCTGGTACAGCAGGAACTCTATTTCCATTCAATCCTTCTCTCTTGATGCTAAAGCTCTTTACAGCTTTATCTTGTACAGGATAAAGCTATTTGTCCTATCCCATTTTGACGAACTGTCTTAAGTGGTTAGTTTCATTAACAGGAAAGGAGGAGGTGTTTTTATAAAGTGATATAAAACACAGCCAAAAAGCTACTTTAAAGCAATTGTGTCCAACAGCAAAAAGATCAGTATTTTTAATTTGTAGCACTGTTTCTCCCAAAAGAGAACAGGCGCCTACAGTCAGAGATACAAGTTCAGTGAATACACTTGCCAAGTTGACTTTTGTTTTTAAATCGACCTCAAAATGGAATGTTTCAAATCATGAAAGGGTCTAAAAGCTGCACATCAACATTATTTAATGTTAGACACACACTAAGTTTTATTAATCATTACACTAGAACTACTTTGGTATAAAAAATACTTTATTTTAAAGCTATGAAAGTTATAAAAATATGTAGTTAAATTTTCTACTCACAGAATGTTTGCTATTTTAACATTAGTGATTTGTTTCTCCTAACGAATCTGAATTTTATTCGAAAGGTTTACAAGACATTATTACTATAATTTAAAAAACCCAGCATTACAGGGAGCTGTACTAATTGTGATGTTTTATCAGTATTCATTTAACCTCTAGATTTTTATATGAAGGCAGCAAAAACAACTATTTTCTGATGATACAGAATTTCTTATTTCTTGAAGCGTTTCTGTGGTTGACCACTTCTTCATTAGTTACCTGCAGCATGGCACCTTCCTGCCAAAGAAAAAAAAAGTGTATCTGAAGATGTTTATCACATATGTCTAAACCAAATTACCAATAGGGGAACTTCAGCCATTTTTTAAAAAAAAAAAGTATAAGCAGTTCACTGGTGTGTCTAACACAAACAGGACTTTTGTTAGCTGAGTCCACATTCTTCAGTGGGTAGCCTTTTAAAGGCAATGGAACTTTGGAATTAGGGCATTTTTTTTGTTGCCTTTTTTTTATTTTTTTGGATGGGTTTTGTTGATTTTTGTTTAAAAACCAAATCTAGTCGAGTATGCCACCCTTACTCTGAATAACTCATTATTTGATTAATTTTCATTAATTTGAGGTGCAAACATTCAATGCAGTGAGAGTAAGGCTGACTGAATTTGGCACTAAGGTTTATTAGCTGCAAGAACTATAAAAAATGGTGGAAACCTCAACATTCTAGCCAAATTCCAATTTACATAATTACATTATACACTTGTGAAATACCACCTGCAGTTTCATTTGAAGTTTTCACTTCCCCTCCTACAGAACTGCTTATGCAGTTGTTAAAAGAATGGACGACACATTCCTTCACAGTGGCAGATGTATTCTGTGGTGCAATTTTTTTTTCCTTACACGTAAACAGTCTACAGTTACTTGGGAACCTTCAGGATGAAACGTGTTATAGAAAATAGATTACAGTAGACAAGACACATAACAACATAGCTCATTTTCAACAGCACAGAACTACCTTCATTGCATTACCTTGCAACCACCATAATGCATAGACTCCCAAGAAAAAATAAAATGTTGCAGGATGCAAAAATAAAGTTGTATGATTTAATTAACTTGTGACCTACCATTTTAACTACCAACACCAGGGATGGAACCCTTGCAAAGCTTTACTAATGGACACTTGCAGGTCTCATTTGTTCAACTGTAGCAGTGTACAGTGGCAGCAGTCTATGCTTGTCCAGGGTTCATATCATAGCTAGATTCCAGTAGGAAAAAAATATGTTAAGTAGCTGAAATTAACAAAAATTTGTTTGTAAAAAATTTAATAATACAAGAAAACAGGATTCACAAATTTCTTTTCAATTGGTAATTGTTAACTCAATTCATTGCTATGTTAAACTAGATAACGATAATCACTATACTGAAAGAATACTGTCATACAATATTAGTTTCTTGGGTTTGGAACATTAAGAAAGGAAAAGTAAATAAGATCTTACCTAAAGAAGTTTAACTGAAGCTTAGAACTATTTTGCTCTACACCCTCAGCCTTCGTTGGCATCCTTATAACTACTGTAGTTAAAGCTTTGCAGAAATACAGCGCAGCTTTTTAAGACTGGCTGAACTTAGTGACGTTTTCAAGAGTTCTCTTGTACTAGACCTGTGTCCCTGGAAGAGTACCTCGCTGGGGATATTTCCTTTCCTTGCCATTGAAGAAGCAGCATCTAAAAGATCTAAAAAGGTGTTTCTCCTTGCAGAGATATCCCTTAAGTTATCTAGATACTTTAAACCTGATCATTTACAGACAACATACTTTTTTCTGACCAGCATTTAATTTTACATGTACAACAATAGCTTTATATTATTTGTGGGACCTTATACTACCCACTCCTTGCCTTATTTTACAATATTAAAAAAAAAATCTAAAATTACACAATATTTCCTTTAGAATTATTTTATTAAATCATAAATGTACAACAGCTTCTTAACTCTACACACGCACTTAAATTTTTAAAAGGAAAACGTTATGTCTTATTACACCATGATCCTGGCTAATAGCTTTTCAAAACTTTGAGAAAAATCTTAAAAAAGGTTTCACATGTCACCTGAAACTTACAAATTTAACATTATCAAAGGAATGCTTCTACACTTACAAAGACCACTAGAAAGAAACAACAATTAAAAAGCTAAGAAACTGTCTCAAAGGCATTTTTACAATCCTTCCTCCACAGTAAGGTAATGTTATTAAATAATCCAAATCCATTCACAAAATGGCTCTCTGCATCTGCTCTGGTGTCTTCTGCCATATCACTGCATATTTATGCATGACTGAGATAAGTGTTTCCTTAACATTGTTATTTCGATAACCTGAAGCTGTTCTGTTACCTCTGGGCTCTCATCCTCTCCTATTTATACAGTGAAGCCTGTTTCAACAGAAGTAAAGAGTAAAAAAATAGGTTATGAAATTGTTCATCTAACCATTTTTTAAAGGAAAGATAATATGATCCTAAAAAGCTTTTAACTCCTGCAGCTACTCTCACGAATCACTGCAATTTTAATACTTAAAAACATACTTACCCATGGCATGCTTGCAGAAACTCAGTAACGGCTCCTCCCTCCATATCCACCACTTCCTCCACTGCCCCCGGGACCATAGTTTCCTGGAATTGCAAAAGAAGGAACAGAACATTTACATCAGTTCACTTTTTAAATCTAGGAATGCTTTTGATTCTGTATGAAAATCAACACCCACTTTACTTCCAGAGATGGCACATATAATGAAGATTTTAAACATTTCACTGTCTTCTTCTATAGAACCTCCAAGAACTGCATGCTGAAATCTTAGAAGATTTAACAGTGTTGCATGTAATTTGATGCACTGTACTGTCTTAAGCCTGTGAGGGCTGACTTTACTTCCATGCTAAACCTTACAGGAAAGGGCCTCATGTTTCAGATTCCATTTCACAGGCTTTACATACCACACTGAATAACTTTTAGACAACAAGCAGCAGAAAATGTCAGAAAAAAAATGATGCTACAACAAAGGGGGGAGGGGGAGGCCAAAAAAGAAATCCCAGCATGTTCAGTGGACATTAACTAGACTCTTTATAAATAATGCCAGCTGACAGAAAGAGCATGAAACTTTGCTACAATCTTTACAAACCAGGAGCTGAAAAATATTTCATAGTATTCTGGAAAAAGTAAGTATCTTTTTATTTATCTTTTAAAAAATAGTAGTAATAATTTTCCCCAAGACAAACTTTATAGTCTCAAGATTAGACATTGTAGCCAACTTGCAGAAAGAACACTGGTACTGCAGTCCATCTATCGCAGAAGTTTAAAGATTTCTACATATCAACCTTACAATCATAGCATACTTCAGGTTGGAAGGGACCTTAAAGCTCACCTAGTCCCAGCCGCCCTGCCCCGGGCAGGGCCCCCTTCCCCCAGCCCAGGGTGCTCCCAGCCCCGTCCAACCTGGCCTTGAACCCTTCCAGGGAGGGGGCACCCACAGCTGCTCTGGGCACCCTGGGCCAGCGCCTCACCGCCCGCACAGGAAAAAATTTCCTTGTATCTCAATCCATCCTCTTTTAGTTCAAAACAGTTACTCCCTGTTCTATCTTCCATTCCACCTCCCCAAAAAGCTAAAGCCCACCCACTCTGGCTCCAAGGCAGGTCAGGACATATACAATACCTCCACCATATGGTCCCCCCATGTTCCGGCTGCCACCAAAATTTCCACTCTTCATTGGACCATAATTTGAAGGTTGTTGGTTGTAGTTTCCAAAATCATTATAGTTTCCACTTCCATAATTGCCTGCGTTATCAATACAAAAGTGGAGAAATATCTAGATGATCTAAAACGCACAGAGCATTCACCAAGTTACCCCATCGTTAGAATTTCAAGTAAAGTACAAAATCACACAGGTATTCCAGCAGTGTATGCAATGAACTGCTATTTCATACTTGTTTGGGAAACAAGAGCTTCCTTAGACAACATTTACAACACCCCCACCCCCAATCTCAAAGACTAGCAATAATTTACAACTGAAATGTCTGGTCATTTCAAGCCAGCAGGTTACCTCCTCCATAGTTGTCATAACCACCTCCATAGCCCCCACCCTGGTTGCCATATCCAGGTCCTCCTCCACCATATCCTCCTCTTCCTCCTCCATAACCAGGACTGCCACCAAAGTTGCCACCTACGACAATATAACCCTTTAAAATAAACTTTTCAGTGTAGAATTGGAGGTTAATTTTCTGTTCGGAAGTCTACAGAAGGGCAGGGGTTTTGAAAATTTACTTCTATTAGCAGTATTTTAAAAGGCACATAAATACCAACTCCCACCCCAACTGAATTGTGGTCAAAACCCACCAGTCAGACTGCCTAAAAGCCTCAATTAAGAGGCTTAATTAAGATACTGATTTTTCAGGAAATTTAAGAAACACTGCTATTTTAAAAGAAAAGGGCATGGTTGTCCAAGAAATAACCATACAATTTGCTATATAAAGGTTTAACATGAGCCAACGGCCACGTGTGATTCCTAAAGCCAACAAAATGGCTTTGGCAATTAATATGTTTTATACAAATGGGAAGTGAATGTTAAAAGGTTTCTGAATGAGAGAAAAACCACCACCACCAAAATAAACTAACCTCCAGGTCCTCCACCATATCCGTTATATCCATCACCAAATCCACGGCCACTTCCATATCCATCTGTTGGGGAAAAAAAAAACAAAGTATTTCACTTTACCCATACGCTGAATTCTCAAACCCCTATGAATTTAAGGACTAAATCTCAGACATCATTGATTAAACACATGTACACTTGAATTTAGAAAAATATACGTGAAATAACATCCAATCATTGCTCTGTATATTCTATTTTCTTGCATTCGTAAGGTATCCAGTTTTAATTCTGGACACAGCCCTTGCACTGTAAAGGTCTGGCAAGTGCTGCATAGAATTACAGAGCAGAAATCTCTGAATTCATTAACAAAATTAATTTTATGTTAATTTTGGCTTTTAATAAAGTCCTTTAAAAAAAGTAGAATATCTTCATTTTACTAAATATCCACACAACCGATTTGTGTACTACAAAGAGGTTTCCAATTTATTTTCCCCAAAACTTCTCTAACTGCTATAGCTGCATTTAAACATCAGTAGTTTACAAATTTACCCAGAACCAGACAGTATAAATAAGGGAGAAAAAAAAAATGCTACAAACATGCCTGTCTTACCGGCTCCCCCTCTGAAATTGCTGCCAGGCCCTGGACCAAAGTTGCCACCACCTCCACGTGCATCACCAAAACCGAAGTTCCCTGTAACATTTATAAACAGTGAAATCATGGAAAGCGAACACAAAAATCAACAACAAACCATTAACTGTTACTTGCACATACCTCCTCTCCCGCTCCTAGAGTTCTGAACTTCCTGCATTTCCTGTCTAGAGAGAGCTTTCCTTACTTCTGCATTATGGCCATTGATGGTGTGATACTTCTGCACTGTAACCACATCAAATAAGATACCATCAGCATTTAAGTACTGATCTGGCAATAAGTAAGAGTATCAGGCTTCCACAAATGAAATAATTTTCAAATTAACCCATATTCCATGTAATTTAAAAAGCACAAAATACCATATACATTTTAAGCAAAGCTGCCAAATCTTATTTAAAATACATGTTCCCACACAATTCACCAAAGCTACAATGTAGCAAATATTCATGCACATAACTAATCCCATTATCTCTGTAGTTCAAGTTTAGCTCTACTCAATTACCAAGATTTAAATTTAGCTTCACAGAATTACCATAACTACAAGGATTAATACTATCAAATGAAAGAGTGAAATGAAGTGTACTTACATACAATTTTATCCACAGGATCATGGTCATCAAATGTAACAAATCCAAACCCTCTCTTTTTACCAGACTGCCTGTCAGTAATGATTTCAATAGTGTCGATTTTTCCATATTCCTCGAAGTAGTCACGAAGGTGGTGCTCCTCAGTGTCCTCTTTAATACCACCAACAAATAGTTTTTTCACAGTAACATGAGCACCAGGTTTTCCAGATTCCTGTTAAAAGAATCCTTTAAATTACTACCAAGAAAAACAATTTCACAAAAAAATATGAAATGCACAAAAGTAAACAAAAGGCCTTTAAACATACTTGGAGAAAACATAAGATCAACTGTTTGAAAGAAATGCAAGTATTCAACAACTTGAACTCAAGCGCAACTTTTGTAACTGAAACAAAGATGTGTCAGCTTCCTCTGCCTATTTCCCCAACAGCAGTAAAATCCACATTCCACTGGTATCAACAGCAAACGTCCTTCGACCTCAGTGATTCCACAGCTGTGCATTTTAACCCCTATTCAAAATACAAAGACAACTCCTCACATTCATGGGTGTTTTTTACACTTTGAGCATGATATCCAAGCTGCTGCACTAGGTAAGAACAACTTATTCCTAAAGCTTACCAATATCTTTGTGTGTACAAACAGTATGCACTTAGGCTGCTTTAATTACCTTTTTCCAAATGCTAACCAACCCTGCATTCTCTGCAGGGAATAGAAAGAAAACTGGGATAGCTAACAGGGGTACCAGTGGTTAAGATTTCCATTTCCCTTGACCTCTGGGACAGCTCATTCAATTCCAGTTCATCAGTCCAAAGGCATTAAACAGCTGGGTCCAACTTTAAACTGGTAAACCCTCCCAGAGGTCCCACAACATGGTAAACAGAAGTCACCTAGATTCTTCACTGTGTCACAGTAACCTGGCTGAAAAGTTTACAGGTGCACTGCACTCCTGTGCACACACCTAATTTGTACCCTGAAGTTTAAAAGCAAATACACCTGGGTGTAAACCCATAGTCTTAAGCTGATTTCTGTACACCGCCACTGGAGAGAATAACCGTTTCCCAACTACATTCCTTTTTTCTAATCACTTCAGTTATGTACCTTTTAGAAATACCCCAAAAGATCTTGGAACAGAGTCAGGAGAGATTAACAGGACTTTATTAATTTGAGGTCTAGTGACAGTAACCATTCTGGAGAAGAATTAGTTTGGAATTTGCATAATTACAGGCATTCAACATGTTTTCAGACCCCAGCTGCAGGCACGATTCTACAACCAGAATAACTTAATTCACTGTAGTAAAAGCCATTTATGTAATAGTGCCATTCAACAGACCAATAGTGCCCTACTACAACTTTTTAACTAGATAATTTAAATCCAAGCAATTTCAAACAAGAACAAAGCATTAACTGTCTGATCAAAACCGATTCCTTTTTTTAAGTATGAAAAGTATCTGCTTTCAAAGCCATACTTACCTCTCTGGCCACAGCTCTCTTAGGCTCAACCACCCTTCCATCAATTGTGTGAGGCCTTGCAGCCATGGCTGCATCAACTTCAGCCATGGAAGAGAAAGTTACGAAACCAAACCCCCTTGATCTTTTGCTTGCAGGATCCCTCATTACCTAAAAATAATAAATGCATTTAAACCATGTCTACCTGTCTCATATTAAGTTTAACACTAACAACACTTGGAGAAAACATACAAACTTAACTTAAATTTTCCTTGATTTGATTTCAAAATAGAATTATAATAAAGTAGCTGGCTATGCTGATTAAGTACATGAACAGCTCTGCTTAGCATCACAGAAATCCAAACCATGATTGTTCTCGCAACACTCTACTGTAAATCAGAAATGCTGCTCTATCAGTGATGTTTATATTTATCTTCTCAAAAAAATTAAACACATGATTTCTTTTAAGCTTTCTGAAGACCACAGGCTTTCAATTTGTGTTTTATGTATTTACTGTTCCCAAAACAAATTGAGTGGATGAATTTATGCAAGAGTCACCATGCCTGGAGGTTTTTAAAAGACGTATAAAAGTGGAGTTTAAGGACATGGTTTTGTGGTAGACTTGGTAATGTTAGGTTTACGGTTGGACTCGACCTTAAGGGTCCTTTTCAACCTAAATGATTCCATGAAAACACCACACAGGGAAGACATTCTTTTCCAGCTTTACTGAGGCTGTTTACCATGATACCAGCTTTCTGCCAAATGTTACCAGTCACACAGATGCAGTGACGCTCTGTGTAATCACTCCCTAATGCACTTCAGCCAATGACACCCAAGTCAACTTTAAACTGTTAAAACCAGAAGCTTATCTAGGAGATTTTACAGGAAACAGACTATGAATGCTCCCTAAGTTTACCAACAGAGTTTGCAAGGGCAGTCTGTACAAAACTTCAATGACTGAATAATGTATAAGCCAACCAACTGTACACCTGAGAAAATTGAATATTCCATCTTTTCATTAAGCTATCCAGAAAACAAACTCCCCACTTTTACAACTTCTAATTGTTCATTGTGCATTAGTATGCCAAACTTACCACACAGTCTGTAAGCTTTCCCCATTGCTCATAGTAACTTCTCAAGCTTTCCTCTGTTGTTTCAAAGCTTAAGCCTCCAATAAACAGTTTGCGGAACTGCTCCTTTTCCCTCTATCACAGAAAATAAGATTACATTAATATAATTAACAATACCTTCTCTGCATCAGCATAACTAGATAAGTAAGCCTTTCTTAAGTGTCAGAAACTTTCAGTAAGACATATTTTTCAAAATTAGGCTTGGCTCTTCTGAATGTTCTACCACTATTCAACAAATTAAGCAAATTACGCAATTCTATGGGTCTACTTTTATGATTTAGATTTTAATAATGTGCTTCTTCCCATCTCTTCCTCCAAATATTAAGAACAAGGAAACACACTCAAAGACTTCCAGAATAGTCTTTTCAAAGATCCTTAGAAGATGCTTTTTAAATAAAAGGTAAAGAAAAACAAACCCAAAAGTTCTCATTTCGTACAATACAAATTCATTAATACTGTCTGACTCTATTCCAGGTGGTATTTATTTTTTAAAAACATTCTGGCTCACACTGTTGTACACAAATACTACCATGCTGTTTTCCCAAGCCATTAAAAATAAAAACAAATGAAGATACAGCCAAAGATGTTCTAAAATGGGTCACTGATTCATATTTTCTCATCAATTATGAAAACGAATGAAAGCTAGAGCATCTGCAAAATTGATCTGGGATCCTGAACTGTTTGAATTAGTGGTGAACCTATCCACCCTCAACAGCAGCAGTATCAAAAATAAGTGGGCTCCCTTTAAAAAAAAACGTGAATAATATATTCATATATGCATCCACTAATATAAATCATGCTTTCAGCAAGACTTTATAGTATTACCTTTCAGAGAAATGATCACTATCCTTGTTCAACAGAAATTTCTGCTGTGACGACAATACATCAATAGAAAAAAAAAAATGCCTGACCAATAATAAGGTATTGCACATTCACTATTTTGTATGTGGTATGATAGCAAAGTGGGAAGGACAACCTTCCAACCTCCATCATTTAAAAATACCTTTATACTAACTTTCACTAGATCCTACGTTTTGCAATTTCATGTGTCATGCAGCAACAACGAAGAAAATGCACTAAAAAGTAGTCTCCTTCCACAAAATTTAAGATTTCAGAATGTTGTCTGAAAGCAAACCGTCCTGTTAGGGACAAGAACTCAAACAACTATTATTTCAGCTTTATACTGTTAACTAATTTTAAAAATCAAGAAAACGTGCTTGGGTGTTTGGTTTTGTTTTCTTTAGGGTGATCGTTGTTTTTTAAGCAATCCAAACACTGCATAGTTAACTGTAACTGACAGACACAAAATGACCAAGGACGCACTGGACATTAAGATAAATGTAAAAAGGAAATTAGACAACCAATGACAAACAATGAGATTTGAGAAATAAGCAGAATAGTTCAGTGCACAAATGCTTTTAAAAGTGCATGTAGATCAGTATGTTTTCTGAGGTGGTCCAAGGCAGGCCTGGATCTAGATGCATATAACAGAAAGACAGCTACTGTGGGTAATACTGAATCATGTCTTGTTCAAAATGCATCACCCTATTACCAACCTGAGATACTGCAGTCTGAAAAGGAAGTCAACCATTAGAAAAAACAAACTTCCCCCCACCCCCCCGTAATAAAAACTATGTTTGAAAAAGATCAGTTTAAATGTCTCCTAAAAACAGCTGGAATCTGCTGTTGATCCAGTATTTTTTCTTCTAACAGAGGAAGCTATTACTGTCCCTTCCTTGTACAGACAGGCAAAATTAGACACAAGAGTTTAAAAGCCATGTTGTGTCAAGTTGCCTTCCACCTCCATCTCTTAGAAAGAAAAAAGAGGATGCTGTGTACCAGACCTGGACTAAAATGTCATATGCTGCAAGTCTACTCTGCTATGTAATTTCAGTAGGCTAGCAAAGAAATAATTTTAAACAACAATACTGCCAAAAAAATCCTTCCTTCAAATTACTTCAGTTCTGCTGCTTGAAAATGAGGGACTATTTCCTACAGTTTCATAGTCTCACACTTTTCCCTATATAATCAACTATTACACGTCTTAATAATGTACTTTTATATCTAATAAAAATGAGACTCAAGCAAATTTAGTAGGCAGATAGGATTTTTCCAGTGTTAGGTTTACCTCTGAAAACAGTTATAAATGTGTAAATGAAACTCAAGAACGGTATCTGTCAGCTGTAACGACTGCATTTGTTTTTTAAAGGACACACATATACTACACATTACTAGTGAACATTAAACAGAATAATAATACACGTCACAGATGTATGAGTTCTTAGAAACTGTGATCTACTGTGTATTAAGTATCATGCAGTACATGCCCTACCCAAAACAAAATCTAGGCACCACACATGTCAGGATATGGCAGGAACAAAATTCGCTACCGGTTCTTCAATTAAAACCACTGTGTGACAGTATCATAAACATGTTGTTTCACTAACGCATGCAACAGCCTCTGGACATAGAGAGAGTATTTGTCTTGAATGTATCAGTTTCAAGAAACTGGTTAGTCTAGTGTCAACCTCCCGACCAGATGGTCAGAGCTCTCTGGACCCTGAAGTTTATGCTGAAGCTGTAAAATGTATGATAAGAATTATTATCACTCCAGTCCCTCTCAATCTTCATGAAAATCCTCATTTGGTAAAAACAACCCCCCTACACATACAACCCACCCCCACCGAGGCCCACAATATAGAATTTGGAAGAAAAACATCTTTCAAGATTTCCATTGTATGCTCTATGGCAAGAACTAAGTGCGAAACGAAATCTTTATGAACTCTGTAGAATCATGAGTGCTTCCACACAGGCTTAAAGCAACACTTCAAAGACTGGAAAATGCATAGCCTTTGCTGGAAAGCTCATCATCAGTTCAAGTAAGTATGTTATATGTATCAAAAATGGGTGCACAAATACTCTAAGCTGACCACAGACTTCTGCCGTGTTAAGAACCCGAGTCACAAAAATGGTTAATAGAGACAGCCAAGTGGGATCTCTCAACGACTATGGCTAGGCTTGCCAAAAGCAAAGCTGGGTTTGCTGGTTCCAAATCAGAAAGACACTGTTCCCGCCGCCGAACCCTCCCTCCCTCCCCCCCCCGCCAAGAGCCCCGTTAGTCCCTAGACGTTCTACGGGGTTTTTTGCTATCCAACAGCCAGTGTCGTCCCCCTTCCCCCGCCGCCTGATGTGATCAGGAGCGAGGCGGTTACCGTGCCGGCTCCGCCATGTGGCGGGTATCAGGAAAACAGGGGCCCCCGCAGCTAGATGGGGAAAATGGCGCCCAAAAGCCGCCGTCACCTCCAGGGACAGCGATGCAGCGCGAAGGAAAGAACGTCTGGAACCACCGACCCCCGATGAAAACAAAACAAAACGCACCCCCCCACCCCCCAAAAAAAAACACCACCAACAAAATAACAGTCGAGTCCTCAGCCTGAACAGAAACCAAGTGCTACAAACCGCCTCTAGCGTACACCTACACACACGGTGCCAGGAAGAACTTGCAAGCGCTCTTTTCCGACCCCCGCTGGTCCCAGACTACCACACCTGCCCTCTCGCCCCACTCGCTTTCTCGCCCTCGGAGCGATCCTCACAGCCTCCCGCACCGGCGGGAGTCTCGGCGCCGCCATTTTACCCCTCCCCCTCGGCACCGCCATTACCAGCAGCGCCGCCCCGGCCGGTCAGCACCTGGCAGGGCAAAGGCGACCGTCCGACCTCCATAGCCGTGTGCCCGCCGCCTTAACGGCGGCGCGGCTAACGGCCACGTCAAGCCATTTAAGAACTCGCCACCCGCCACGCGCAGCTACCGCAGCTTCCGCCGCCTCTCTCGGCTGCGCGTTAGCCCCAACCGCCGCTTCCAGAACCTTCCTCCCCGCTAACGCTTCCCCAGTGGACAGACACCCAGCCCCCCCCCAGCACACACACCCCCCCCCCGCAGCACACCCACCGGCGGCCAGCAGCGGCACCCAGACCCGCGCTGACAAGGGCTCAAGCCAGCTCGCAACGCCCAGACCCGGAAAAAAATTCACTCCGCACGCATAACCCAACGTCCCACCCTCCTTAAAAAGCAAACTCTGAATTTTCCCTTTTCACGTACCATATTCTTCATGGTTTATGTATTCCGGCTTGAGAGTACCGTACAACTGGTCAGTAATGGCTGCCTTAACTGTTACGTAATTTGAAATTCAGCTCCACCTAGAGCTAGCGCCCTCCTTCTCCAGCCCAGGCTCGCTCCGAGGTTTTAGGGTTTTTTAAAAAAAAAAAAGCTTAAATCTACTGCTTAAATATCTCCAAAGAAGCAGCAGTTCTATATAACACCCCTCCGTGTTTTTAACACGTAATAAAAAGTCATCAACTCCGTTAGTAATGGCTGTCTCCGAAATGAGCCGAAGGAGCCGTCGTCGTCGAGCTTATCCGCTTCGACAGTCGCCGGAAAAAGCCGAAAGGGGAATGGAAGCCCATTCGACTCGCTTCGGCAATTTCCGGAACTTGCCGAAGCAGAGAAGAATGGCGCTCGCAACCTCCTCGGCAATTTCCGGAGAAACCGACGCAGCAGTCATTGCCTATCCAGCCCGTTCGGCAATTTCCGACAACGGAAGAGACTCGTCATACGTGCCCGAGCGCAGCCGAAACGGCCCCGATCACGACTGGCACCGTCACTTTTTTTTTTTTTTTTTTTTTTTTCCGGAAATAACCGAACGGCCCCGAAGGCTCAAACCTCAAAGCGAGGGGTTATAATTAGCCGGAGGCGGCCTCATATCGCCCCCCCCCGCGGCCACCTGCAGTACTGGCAGGAGCAAAGCGAAGCGTGCCCCTGAAACCTCCCCGTTGTCGGCGGCCTGGCCCCCTTTCCCCCTCCGCCCGGGCAAGAAGTGGTAACCACCCAGATTTTGGCGGCAGCGCCGGCACATCGCGGGGACCCGGGCGGCAGCGGAGGGAAGCAGACTTCGCCGCAGCCTGCGCCTCTCTACCCCGCACCGTCGACATCGGGCGTGCCGCCCGCTTCGGCAGTCCGTTCTTCCTTCTCTCCTTCCTCCCCTCCCTCCCTTTTTCTCTCTTCAGCGGCCCCGCACGCACCGCGACAAAGGGTGAGTGCTGCCGCCCGCGCACCAGGGAAATGGCGCTGGAGCTGCTCCTTTCTTCCCGCCCCCTCTTCTTCCCCCCCCCCCCCCCAGCTCCCGGGGAAAGCCAACGCGGATCCACCCGCGGCTCCTCACCCCGAGCGAAACCCCCACGGCTCAGTCCGACCCCTTTCCCCACTAATAAAAAGAGTTTTCGAGCCTGTCCCCTCGGCGCTTCCCGAACCCCCCCTTCCCCCTCCCGACGCCCGCAACTAACGGCTGGGCCTCCCCGCCGCAACGCGGGAAATGGCCGCGCTCCAAGGCAGACCCCCTCACCCACCCCTCCGGTGCTCCCTGACCGCCCTCCCCGCTGCTGGCGCTCGCCGGGGCCGCGCCCCCCCCCCCCCCCCCCGCACCGCCGGGCCTCGCTCCGCGGCGGGGCACCGTCCGCTCCAGCCCAACGCGCCCTCATGGCGGCGGCCATCATGGCGGCTGCAGCTACCGGCCAACACGGGCCCGTTCCCGCACCGCACACACACACACACCCCCCCTCCAACTCACCCAGTCGCTTTCTCTGTCGCCGCGCGGCATCTTCCTTCTTTTGGACGCCTGACGCGGTCCTGCGCTAGCCCCCCGTTGGAGAGACGTCTTGGCCCCCCTCCTGTGCTGGCGGCGACGACGGGAGGAGGTTGCAGCTCGCGCGGAGGCGGCGTCGTGCGCTCTGCCCCGTCAGCCGCCGGCGCGCACTGCTCGGCCAGCCCAGCCCCGCCAGCCGCCGCGCCCGCCCTGCGCCGCGCCGCGCCGCCGCTCCCCACCCCCTCCCGCCTTCCCTCCCTTCCCTTCCCCCACGCCCCCCCCCCCCCCGCCTCAACCCCCCTCAGATGTCGCTGTTGCCGCCGCTGCTCAGTGCGCGCACGGCGAGAGCGAGGAGGAGACGGGAGACCCAAGCGGCTGGGCACCATTGAAGTCTGTATCCTTCTTTCTCTCTCCCTCTTTCTCTCGCTCCAGCCACCTCCCCTCCCCGGCTCCCCCTTCCCTCCGCGGCGCGGGCCTCGCCCGCGGGGAGATGCGGGAACGCAACCCGCCCGCCTTTCCCCCCCCCCCCCCCCCATCAATGCCGCCGCTTCCTTGGTGGCGGGAGGGGGAGGGAGGAACGGGCGGAGCAGGGCTGCCGCGGCCCGGGAGCGAGCGGGCTTCGCCGCGGGGAAGGAGGGCTGCGCCGGGGGGGCGGGGGCAGCGGCGCCGGACGCGCTCGGGAGACAAAGCCAACCCGCCAAGAGCCGAGCTCCGAGGCCGGGGCGTCCCCGCTCCGGGCAGGCGGCGGCGGCGGCGGCATGTGCCGGGCCCGGGGGAAACGTGGCGGGGTGGGGGAGGCGGCGTGGAAGGGGCCGTGGCGGCGGGGGCGCGGCGCGCAAGGCCCTCCGGGCGGCGGCGGCGGTTGCCCGGGGCGGGCGCGGCGGGGCCCCTCACCCGGCCCCGGCGGCGGGCCGGCCCTGCGCCGCCTGGGGCACTCCCGTTAGTTCGGCCCCGCCGGCGCCCACCGCAGGCCCGAGGCGAGGCCTCCTCAGCAGGGCTGCCTTTATTTTTTGGCGGGGCAGGCACGAGGGATTTCCTATCGTTATTATTATTGTTTCTTTCCCTCCCCCCCCCGCTTTCGCCTGCCTTTCAAACGGGGACGAGACAAGCCCCTCCGCGCTGGGGCCCTCGCCCCGGCCCTGCTCCCACCTCAAACCGCCCCCCCCCCCCCCCCCGCCTGCGAGACTGCCAAGATCCACCTCCCGTGTCAGGGGAGAATTGGGCGGGATTGCCGAGTCCGGAAGGTTTTCTGGCCTTGAAGGACTTTTCTCTTCTGCCTTGCCTGGGCATATGGGGAATTCTAACAGTTCTATAGTTCGCGGTGGGGCGGGGACCATACATGCCTAAGGAGGTGGCCAGTAGGAGAAATGACATGGAAAGGGGGATGGATTGTGTTCAACGTAATTTGCATAGGTTAAATATGTAGTATGTACAGCTTAGCTGAGTTAATGTTGCTCTAGGACCTTAACTCTTGCAAACTTGAGAATCAGAAGGCAACGCTATAGTTGCATTAAGATAAATATTTGCTGTTTATAAGCATTTACTACCATGTAAGAGCCATGGGTGACTCCTTATTCCACCACAGATACGTAGCTGCTCCCCACCAGATTCGCAGTTAATGTACTTCGCTATATCTCAATTAACTGCTAGAATCTGAACTCCTGTTCTATTGGGTTTAAGGAAATATGCATCCCTGATGGTCCTCCCCCTTTTCCCTAGAAACATCTTTATGCCTTAGAAGGCCTTGGGAAAAACCTTTTTTCAACCCTATATACCACTTTGTCAGTATCGCTTACCCTGGCTAGCATAATGGTACCTTACTGGGTTATGCCGGACGAAGTAGTAACCTACTTTTTGTTCTGGATTTAATCCACATTAGAAATGTTATATGCAGTGAATACATGGGGGTTGGAACAAGGACCATGATTGTATTGGGATGCCTTTCTTTGAGTAATGTAAACTTCCTTTTAATTGTCATGCATTTTTCTAGTAAAAGCTCTGCAAGTCTGCAATAAAAATGGCCTCCAATAAAACTACATTGGTAAGTTCATGCACACCTAAAGTATATAAGGATTTAATCAACATATTTTTCTTCACACTTATAACTTGGCATCTCCATTTAAAAGATACATCCACATCTCCCCTCCCCAGCATTATTCTGACCAAAATTTCAGATCCAGAAAGTAAGGCTACTAGAAAGGACATTGTCTTTGGCTCTAATAAATCTGCCATTTGTAAAGAGACTTGTTGGGAAAAAAAATAAAATACTAAAGGACTCTGCACTATTACATCTTGTCCTACAGCAGAAAACGCTAAGGATTTTTTTAGCCTCCTTTCAGCACACCATGTAATCCATCATATATGTAAAAAATAAAATCCAAATCGTGTATTCATTTAATTTCTCCTGATGTATTTGGGGAAAACTATTTGCCTGAGAAAAGGCAGTCTTTACAAACGAAAAATAACATTATTGGGAAATGATGTGGCGTAGTTAAGATGCCTTTTGCAATTATTTTTAACAAATAACAGTTTCTTTGAATTTCATAGGAGCAGAGATTATCAGATGCCAACCCCTCCTGGACCATTTAATGATGCATTCATGGATCTCAAGTCCTGTAAAGCTTTGCTTGACATTTAAATATGGACTTCTAAGGGCAGTTGGTAGCTGGTTACCATTCAGCTAATAATGATACATAATTTTGTGAAAGACAGAACTGAAAAAGTATAGTGTGAGATGCATCTCAGTTTGCGGTGGGGAAGTAAGCAAAAATACATGTGTACAGTTCAAAATTTGGATAGCAGGACAGCTGATTTATAATGCACCCAAAAGGCCTGTTCTTAAATTTACTGAAATGGTTACTGGTTGACTCAGATTGAGATATATAAAAAACTTGTATTAACTCCTGGCTTAGAAGTGCAATGGAGTGCTTCCTTTATATTGTATTAGAACAAACTATTTTAAAAGATTTCACCAAGGTGAATGTCTGAACTTTCTGTTAGTAGTTGATTGCCTGCTTTTCCCTAGTTTGAGGAAGAGGAGTTAGCCAGCCTGGGAAGGGGATGCCTCAGGGAGAGGAAAGAATCTGTGAATGCAGTATT